GAAGTTTTCATTTGTTTGACATTTTTGGATCCTAAAAATATATGAAAAATTGGGAAGTTTGGGGTTTTCACTGTTTTTTACATCATAAAGTAATTTTAAGGATGCAAAATGCCCCAAGTCGTGCTCTTTGTTGGAAATCTTTCCACATACACAGACTCCAGAAAAGGACTTTTGTAAGTGGGGCACAATTGGAAAATACTCTATTTTTCTTTCCTCACTCCCTCAGAGATTACTGCAAGGAGCTTCAGAAGTTTTGAGACTATATTGGTATGATACCATAAAGTGTTTTAGAGACTTCAGAGTAAAAATAAATACAGATACCACATCACATGTAGACCTGAGATGTGTAAGAAAAAACAGAATCCACACTAATCACTGAAAACATATCCTTTGAGGGGTTTCAAAGCACAGAAATATGTTTATTCCATAGAAAAACAAGAAACATTCTTCCTTTTTAATTCCCTCCTGTGGACATTTTCATAAGAAACAACTTGTTCCACCAATACTACCATACCCTGTAATTTAAGCTTAACAAACTGTCAGCAATCCATGCAATAATTATTGCAGTAAGGAGAAAGCTGCACTATGTGTAAAAAGAAAATAAACTCAAAACTCAACCACTAGGGTATGTTTTTCATTCCTTAGATTTTGTCAGTTTACATTGTCCCAAAGCATTGAAAATATCTGAATCTTGTATAACAAGGTATATTAAAAGTGACTGACATTTAATCTGTCAAGATCACTGTCTTGTAATGGCACAGCAGATGGCTGGGCAATATAACATCTCATAAAAATGATTTCTAATCAATCTATGTACATGTGTTGTTCACTTCACCCACTCAACTAAATAAAGTTCAACAGCAGAGTGAAATATGGAATTTTTAGCTTTTTCTGAGCTTTTAGCCCAACAATAATATGCACATTAAGAATAAAACCTACATCCAAAGCAGTATTTTGATTTTATATAAAATATTTTGCATCCTGTTTAATTGCAAGGGCTCATAAAAATGCATTTTTGTCTTTCACCTGAGGAATTCTTCCATTGGCTATAGTTGCTCTCAACACTTTCCTATTTTTACCTATAAAAAAAACAGTGGTTTTGGTACATTTGTTTTTTGAATGTGCCACTCCACTTTTCCACAGTTTAATTACTAAGAAGTATCTGGAACCTCAAATCGGATAATTGATGAGTTGAGGAAGCCAAAGTCTACTCTGTTTTGCCAGTTACACCTTCAGGAGCTTTGTCTTCCTCAGATTTTTTACGTGACACCTTTGGCTGAAGTTTGTATTCCTTGCATAGCACTGACTGCCATTTGAATTCTGCCTTCTCAGCGAGGCTGTCTGGGTGTGACTGGGGTTGTTGTTTACGTTCTGTGGTTTTTATACACAGTGGCTGAGGATTGTGAAATAATAGTTGTGTAGATACCACACTTCTGTGTGCATTTGTGCACATCTTGCCATCTAAAAGAACAGTTTGGTTTTTTTTTTTTAATTCTGTTCCTCCAATTTTTGGAGTTTGTATTCTGAATACATATAAACATTACTCTTTTCACCTGGCAACCAGTATGTCTAAAAACATTCTTTCAGACTTCATTTTTCTTCTTATCTAATTCACTTCATAGACGTTTTTGATGTTCCCAACCTACATTTGCCATTTTTCGAGATGAAATGTGCTTCTTAAATTAAAATCCTCTAACTTCATACACAGGAATAGCTGGGAAATACAGAAGCTATCTGTATTTGAATTCTAGGAGTTTAAGCATGTCAGATTAGTCTGCTTTAGTCATTTTCCTTTTCAAGCTCATGGATTTGTTTCCTAAATACTACTGATGTATTTCATTGGCTTCTTACAGTAGTTATTTTCTCAGTCTGATTTTAGCAAATTGAGATGGATATCGAAGCGTTGCCTCTGTAATACACTGGACAACCTCTTGCTTGAAGATTAGAAACCTTCTGAGACCTGGGTTTTATTTCTGCGCTGTAGTTCTACTGCTGCTGCACAAAGAGCACCAGCATTAGGCCTCTGCCAGCCTGGTGTGAAGCAGGAATACAAACTTGTGGGTGTTACTCACTGGGTAACATTTTGTAAAGCTCAAAGTGTGAGCTACAGTGGAACTTAGGTGGATACTAAAAGGGAATATTTATGCATTTATATTCGTGTAATTATGAAAGAAACTGATGGATTGACAGCCATAAAAAATGAAAATTAATTGTGTATTAGTTAAGGAAATAAAAAGAGAAGTTTATATGTCCATATTAAGGCTTAGTGGTTGAAGAGACAAAGATATACCTTAACATTGTGTTAGTGTGGATTCCAGCTGAATGAGATTGCCTGAGGTAAGAGGATAATCACCTTACTCTCCATACATAACTGGATAAGAGATATAGGCTGCTGTTGGGACTAATTCAGACCTTAGATAACCTTAATTGACTTCTGAAGAAGGGCAAGTGACTCCATTTTTTTATGGAGAACTATTGTGACTCTATATTTGCTTATATCACTCAATGGTCAGTGAGAGAAATACAAGCTCTTACTGATGCTGTATCCCACCTTGCCTGGAGTATAGGTTCTGGCAGGAGCTTTCAAATATCTTCTTCTCCTCTTGTCTTCCTCCCTTTTTTATGTTGTGTATTCCACTTCTGTTTGACCCATCTAAGGTTGCAGAGCTGTAGTATAATTCAAGCTGAGAGGGATCTCAGGAGGATTCTAGTCCAGCTCCTTGCTCCAATCAGTGTAAACTGTAAAGTCAAATGTGTTGCCCTGAACTTTATCTGTTCAGGTCTTGAAACCCTCCAAGGATGCAGATTACACAGTGTATCTGGGCAGCCTCTTCCGCTGCTTGGCTGAAAATCAGAACTATACCTGATTTGGTTTATTACCATTTTCTCTTTAATTTATTTCTTCATTTTTTTATTTTTATATTTTATTGCTCTGCAACTCCACAAAGATCTTTGCTCCCTCATTTTGAAATCTCCTTTCAGGCATTGGAAAGGTACTTCTAGACACCTCCAAAACCTCCTTTTTTTCAGCCTGACCAAGCCCAGCTTCTCCAGCCTCTCCTTATAGGGTGCATTCTCCAGCCCTAGTGATCTTGGTGGACTCCCACCTGACTCACTCAAAGTTTGCTGATGTCTTTTTTGTGCTGCAATAGACATGTTAATCATAACTGGACACAGTAGTCCAGATATGCTCTAAAAATTGCTGGGTAAAAGGAAATATGAGCTCCTTGTGATATTGAAAAATATTACTATTCAGAATCTAGGAAGTGCATGAAAAAAACCTGGAGCCTATTTAGTGTATACTAAATCAAAAGAGAATGCACTCTCATCTGTGTCAGAGCTCCCTGGCAAGCTCTGTCACCCTTGTCTGAAAAAGCCTTTCTCTAGAAGAGTCAGCACATATTCTTTCTTGTTTTTCTTTAATTCCTCCAAGATACATAATACATGCAAAAATAAAAAAAAAATTGAATTGCCAATAAGGTGCAATGTGAAGAACAAAGGAAAGCTTAATAAAATTAAAAGGCAGATGAATTGAAACAGTAAAAAAATATCTCAGTGACTGACACACTACAGAAAGCATTGACTCAAAATTTCTGATTCAAGGGATAATAGTATTTGGCAACTTGAAATGAATGAATAACAACAATATATAAACTTTTTATAATTCAGGTAATGTTCAAATGTGGATTTACAGACATCTCAGGCACAAGGAAGAAAGCAAGTTCCTTTCTTCTGTTAGAGAGATTTCTTGTAGACTTGCAACTGGGGAAAGTCTAAACAGCATTGTGGAGTTTTACATCAGTCTGGAGACCTCACTGCCAGAGAGGATGTGTTGTATTATAGGTAATGGCTCTGGCTGGAGGGACAAGAACCAGTTTGCTGAACACAGGGATGGCAATAAATATTTGGTATCAAATAAACCCTGTAGGGTTATGTGCTCTCAGATAAGTACTGTCTAGGTCCCCTTTCTTGTTCCTTTCACATGCTTGCTGGCTTTGGGTTAGCCTAAACACGTTCTGCTGCTTCTCTTGTATCTCCTATGGAAGTCTATGTCTTCTGGTGAGCAAAGGGTGAAGGAGGGAATATTTTAGGATGCTGATGAAGTATGGGTAAATAAATAAGCCTTCTCACATTGAAAATAATAATGGGTGAAACATAAGTGAATGTCTTTTTCTGTGTTTGTGAGCAAGAGCATGGGTGTCAGGACTCTGATTTCTTTCTGCGTGATGGTGCTTGACTGCTGGTCGGGTGCTGCGGTGGTGTTTTTAAGAGTCAGGACAAGACAAATCTGTGCTTGCCATTGCTGAAAGCCAAATTATAGGCAATAGGAACAAATGAGCACTTCTTAGAGGATGAGTATGAATCTGGGCATTATTCAGAGATGTTGTGGTGTCTCACTCCTTTGAGTTATTCAAAAAACTCTTGTAAAAGGTCTTTGGCAAGTAGCTTAAGGTTTCTCTGCTTGAGTGAGGGAGTTGGACAAGATGACCTTCACAAGTACCTTCCTACCTCAACTGTTCTAGGAACCTGTTACCCTTTGCTATTTTTCCAGTAATAAATTTTTGAGGAAATCTCTATCCTTTACAGTGGCTCTGATAAAGCTACTGAGAAAGATACCATGTAATTGGAATCAACTATTTTAACATGTAATCAGAAACTGTTCTGAAGAAGAAAAGCAGGCTGCACCATCAAGGTAAAAGTGATAGCTGTTTTCAGCTTCAGAACAAGCAAGTGAACATTAAGGCTACCTTTTAATGTCTGTATAGGTAGTGGAACCGCAGCTACAAGTGGGACATATAAAAGCTATTTGTTAAGGAAAGTGCAGTGTTTTTTGATTGCATCATTATATTACATAGAAAAAGACAGCTCTTTCATGATGGTAGGACTTTGAGAACAAAGTGGCTATCTGCAGGATATCAGGTGAGTCTTAAAAACAAAACTAAATTGCTGAAAAGAAGTTATTTAACTTTTTAAGTTTATCTCTTTTTTTCTTGAAACAGTTGAAGCTCTGCATTTGGGAACTCTGATGGCAGCACATGGCTATTTCTTTCCAATCTCAGACCATGTTCTAACACTGAAGGATGATGGCACCTTTTATCGATTCCAGGTACGTATTTTCAATATGTTCTTGACTTGCGCAAATGGAGGTTCAAAGACCTTACAGAAAAGTTCATAGCAAATTTAATCATACTTTGTTTCTCACATAACCTGGTAAAGAGTAGGAATTGTGCTAAAAATATTAAATGGTAGAATGATTTTATTTATAAATTTTAAGGGAAGTGTTTAGATGGTAATGACTATTTTGATATCTGGAATAAAAGTGTGATAATGCTGACTGTGGAACTATCTCTCATGAAATAAATTAATGTGCTCTTTTTGAAACATAGTAAACTAAATTATTATTGCCTCTTATTCTGAGTATAGTCTGAATTTGGAAATGGGGAGATATTTTAAATATTAAGTTTACAGCAGAAATCTGATAAATAATGGAGGGTAATATTTATTTTTCTTCTTTTGTGAGAATTTCCTTACTGGTAACTCAGTAGTATCCGAGTAGTGTGTATTCTTCTAGCAAGTACAGAGGCATTTTTACGTTGATCTGTCAGTCTCATTGCATAAAACAAACATGCAGATGGTTCAGAGCAATCTGGAAGCATAAATATGTACATATGTCTACATCTACTCTTGCATATATATTATTCAGAAACCGACATAGGTTTTTAATTTAATTTTTATTATATTAAATTTCAAACTAAGGCCCTGGGAGCAGAAGTGTTTTTCTAATAATGACTAGTTGGCTAGAATTTTGCAGAACAACATTGCTAATGACTTGAAACAAATATGTCTGCAAAATACCAGATTATTAATTCAATGGAAAGAATTCACTTTGCTTGTCATGTGCCACTTTTGAAAATGGTGGCTGTGTTCTGTACTGCACTTTCTATTAGGTGGTATTCCTGGTAAGTATCACCAACAGCTGCTCCAAGCTCTTTTTTAGGTATTTATTGCTTTGAAATGGTATGACAACTATGGCTATGAAATTGAGTTTGTTAATTCTTCTCTGTTACTTCTAACTGTATTAAATACTCAGCAAAATAATATCTGGTAGAACAAAATATGTTGTCTTCAAAATATATAGATCTAAACTTCATCTAAAAGATTGTTTAAATAAGAAGCCATCAAGAATAAAATAATGCTGAAATTGTGATCTTTCAAATGCAGAATAAAAGTACAGATCGGAGACCAGTCATAGTTTCAAACATTGTATTATATTTATCTCTGTACAATACTTCCAGCAATATCTTGGCTTAAGTCCTACAGACCCATGTAAGGGAAGAGAAAGACTTGTAATATTTGTATAAATCAAAATCTTAGCATGAACATAGTTAAATATGCACAGCATAGTCTGGCAAGGAAGAGAATTATTATTGCATACATGCAAACAATATTATCCTGTTTTCATATTTAGATCTTGTGAGTCAGACTGCAAAAAAGTTATTCTTCAGCAGAACAGAAAGTTAGATGTGTACATGGGTAATACTAAGAGCAAGCATTCCAAGCCACCTCTCCTAGATCCACAGTTACCTTTGATCCTGGAGAGAGTATTTGAAGGAAAAGGGGTTTTTTAAGTTCATGAGGCTTCATTCTCCTCAGAGCTCAGTGTAAAGAAGAGAGATGGCACATGATTGAAGGGGCTTGCTGATGTGCATATGAGGTAAGTGGAAAGGAATCATGGAGTGGTTGAGGCTCCAGTTCTTGGCTTGGTATCTGAATAAGCAGTGTCCAGAAGGACAAAATATACAAGGACTTAATTTTGTAGAGAACGGTACTTAATTACAGGAGTGCTAGCTATTGAATTCTGCACAGCTGCTGGCCTGCCTCCATCTCTAGCACAAAAAATAAGCACCTGTGCTGGCATGATTGTCTGACTGAAGGAAAGTACAGACTAGAATTAGCTTCACCGTGGACCACTGGGAGTACTGCAGCTACTCTGCTGTGAGCTCTCCTCAGAGAGGTCCATAGCCTATATGTTTGGACACAAAGCTTCAGTGAGGGCTAGACTGTAAAATCTTCTCGGTTTATTTACATAAGTTAAGGGTTTGGCACCTATTTGACAAACGTATATGAAATAAGAAGCTTTAATCAAGTGTTGCTCAGTACTTCAATCTGCAGTGTTTGGCTTGATTGCTTTTCTGTGGTACCTTTTCCATTGCTATTCCTATGCCAACGATGTGACTTTGCTGTTGTGACAGTGGAACTTAAGCTGCTAATGTATAGGATGAGAAAAAATTCATAGTTGTGACATACTGTTAACTGGAGTTATAACAGCAAAATTTTTGTGGTAATATCTCCACATTCCCCACCAAAATAAGGCTAGTATAAAATCTGTTACTGAACTGTTAAATTAGAAGATGAAGAGAACATATTCAAGGGGGAGGAAAGTTTGACTGAAAATGTGTGAATTTTGCACTAGAATAGACATTCAGGTTCTTTGCAAATAGTGCCCTCTTAGTACTGGACAGGATTCACAAATTTGTGGTTATTTTGATGACAGGAGAAAACCATGCACCTGCCAGCACTGAAAAGTTCAGAAGCCACGCCTGCAGAGAAGTCTTTTCAATACAAAGACCTAACCTACGAAAAACAGACTAGCTATAGTAATGTTCTCCATGTGCTTGGTGTTTTGCTTTCCAAAGGGTGACACATTCCCTCCTGACAGTAAAATTATCTCTAGCTTGTTTTAAACCACCTTCTGTTGTATAGAAATAGCTAAAAGCAGTGGAGATTGTGCTTCATCTGGACAAATGCCCTTTTATGGGCAAAAATTATACTTTTTCAGTTATTACTCTTGCAATCAGGAGGCAAGAGTATAGTTACATCAGCTTTTTTAAATAATGTGGAATAAAAAAATAATCTGGATTGTTCAGTGACCTACTCAGGTGTTAATTAGTTTAGTTCCTGTGATATCAATTTAATTCAAAGGAGATGAATCTAAATATTAATTGCCTTATTAAGAGAGGGATTTTTATATTAGTCTCAATAAGAAAAAGCAGAAACAGCTGTGTTGCCTTTTCCTGGTAATTTAAACCTGTGACCAAAAAAGGAGCTGAATATTTACTCACCTCTTCCTCTTCCTGAGAGCAAATAAATATCAGAGGCCCAAATAAGAAAAGCAAGCTGCATCTTAGAAAGCATATCTTCCCTGGACCAGAGATTACTCATGGAGATGTTTCAATTATGTCCACACAAACAGTAATATATCCAGCTTGGTGAGGAATGCCTGACTTGCCTTCTCAGCTAGTAAGCTTCTGTAATATCATCCTGCAGAAAAATATGCTCATTTTCTCTACAGGTTTCCCAGATTTCCCAGTATCTTTTGGCTGTAAACAAACTCCTAGTATACCTGAGACTAGTGATAGTCACACTCCCATTTTTAAATGAAATTAATTCATGATTTAACATAAATTAATTTTCTGAGATGAGAGTTAGGTCTTGCTGTTGTTTTGTAACTTTTCAGATGAAAGGCACAAATATCTGAGAAAAAGTGTAAAAACAGAAACAGTTTCTTGTGAAAGCATGAGTCTGGTGAAAATAGCAGCAAAATTCATGTACCTTGGAAAGATGAAGGTGTGGACTTTGATGTCTTCTGTTCTGCCACTGAGAACACTTTCTTGACAAATGCATTTAACCTCTCTGGTGTTGTTTTGCCTAAATTGGGGATAAAATTATATAGCAGTCACAGTAAGGATCTTGAAATATCTATGTTGCAAAGTAGTTTTGAGTGTGAAGTGTTGTGGACACCTCGTGTCTCAGGTGGAATTGCTTTGCTTTACACATCTCTTTGAGTCAGCCTTACTGAGCCAGCTTCTTCTTGGCTCATTCTGGACCGACCTCTGGCCATTCTGAAGGCTGAGTCTGTAGCTGAATATCAGAGCTCTTCAGCTGCTCTCCAGAGCCTTTCTGGATCATCTACTGTACCTTGAGGGAAGGATCTTAGTTGAAGCCAGGTTTTAGAAATTAAAAAGAAGCAACTTATATTATGCAGCATTCGGCAGATTTTCTTTGTCAGTTGCAGGTGTGATAACTAATTCATTGTCTTTTCAGCTCAGGCTTGGCATATGCAGGCTCCATTAAGGTTTCTGAGGGAAAAAGGTTTTAAATCCACGTGTCTTTCTGACTGCCCTATCAGTGCCACTTTTGATTTTTTTAGCTCCTTACTCAGGCACACTTTTCTCCACACTGTTTTCCATGCTCATCCTCTTTTCAGTTAGAAAAAACGAGTCACAAAGCCAAAATCTTGTTTCCAAATTCCTCAACCTATTTTTAATTATTCTGATCATGGAGCACTACTTGCTTCCTGTATGGGCTTGACAGTACTAGACTAGCAATCTTACCTTTTTACTTTACCAAGAAATCATTTTTGTCAAACGAATGTAAAACACAATGACAGTGAAATCTGCTGTCCATCATGCAAAGCAATTGAGATTTTGCATAACTACTCTTTAGCAAAGGCTTGAATTCTGCTGTTTATAAAGACTCCCTGGTGCCTGAGAGAAGAATAGCAGTAATATGCAAAAGTTTATAAGTGACATGAATACTCCTCTCCCATCCAAGTAATTGGATTTTAAAAAATTTTGTGGAGTGGAACGAAGCAGCTTCAGAGACAACAACTCTTTTCTTACTACTATCAACAAGAGGTAGCTGAAAGATGCTTAAGTGATTTCCCCTCCTTGGTCATACAGTTTAATTCATAGAAATTAATCATATTTTGTAAAAGTTGATGGGCAAAACTGATTTTTACAAGTGGCTGTTCCATTAGCTCATATATTATTATTGATTAATTTTGAGGTAAAATCAAAGCAGATCTATTTACTTTATCACTAGATACCTTACAATGCATAGCACTCACTGCTGCTGGTTTATTTATTGAGGAATATGTGCTATGTTACAGGATTTTGTTTTAGATGACTTTATTACAGGAGGATTATGGATTTATGTGGTTAGGTTTAATGATATTAATGTATAACACAAGAGAGCCAGTATGTGTTTGTGTGTGCAAAACCAGTTTCCTGGTTAAAGGGCATAAAGGTCTTGTAAACTGTTTTGTTCTGGAGGCTTAAATGTACCTGCGATCACATCTGCAGTGCTAGGTAAGCCTCATTTCTCTAGTTCCTGACTTGTTCTGGCTGCCAATTCAAATTAAACCTACAATTAAACAAAGTGCCTCAAAAGCATACTGATAAAAACTGGCAGCATTATTTCTGCCTGGGCTGATAAACAGTCCTTGACTTTCCCATAACCACTCTACCACCCACCTTCCTTCAGCTGTAAGTGGGATGTCATGGCAAAATGACAAATGTTCCCTCTTTAATACTTCTTCATGATGAACTGCTTCACATTTCCTTCTGGGGAAAAGTAAAATTCTTAAGTATGATAATTCCTTCAGGTTTTCTACAGTCATGAAAGATAACCAAACCACATCAGTACTTCATAATCTTCTCTTTGAAGATGGTGGTGGTGTGGTACATGTCATAGCTCTCCTGGGTGAAACCTTCATTTAGGAGCTTCTAGATCATGAATCCAGGCACACAGATGGTATAATATTTGTATATCGGAATATATATAGGAATTAATATATTGCAAGGCATGCTATAATTCTTCTACAGTGTATTTGGACATGTGATTTGTAACAAATAGTTGAACCAAGCTTTGTTTGCATAGTCCAGCTATTTAAAAGGTAATTTATATGAGCAGAGCCTCCCTGCATTGCTGTGGGATATTTTTAATAGATCAGATGAGAGCAGGCAGCTTTCTCCTTTACACACACCTCCGTTTCTCATTCCTGACCTCATTCCATGAGACCAGGGATCTTCTTATCAGACTCTTCTTATTTCCTAATCCTTCTGTGTGGAACAAGGCAAATCTTTCTCCTGTAGTCTTAATGGATAACCTCTCTAGCAAATTCTTCTCAGAGACTGTTAAACATCTGGAGCGTGAAATTGTGTGGAGACTTTTGAAACAGAAATGGAAATGTAAAATCAGCACATGCATTATAGTCACATGTTATGTGATTAAACTGTTTGATGTCTGTAATAAGGAACAAGGTAAGCTTCAGATTGAGACCAGAATTTTATGACTGTTAAAACCAAGCAATTAGACAAGAAAATGTGGAATGTTCCTTTGGAATAACATCAGTCATTTTAACTACATAGATGTTTATTGTTGGTGCTTTTTGTCCATACAATCACAGCATTGCAAAAGTCCATTAGTCAGAAACTGATTTCAGGTTTATTTTCAAAGATTTTTTTCTCAAAGGTTTTTTTTACCTTGGTATTTTGGACTTTTTTTCTGTTTAAATCTTAATCTGTCCCTTATCCCTATTTTTTGCCTGTTTTTAGGAGAGTTTCCCTTATCTCTGCACACAACAATGCCATTTCCTGCTTTGAAAGTGAATAATAGATATCTACTCTTCAAATACAACTTTATCAGCAGCTGCATGTAGCTGCCTTTGAGAACATATCTTAGGGTGATACCATAAGTCTTCACTCGCTGCTAAGAAAGTAGGACTTTGCCTTGGTCAAAATACATAGCATCTAATGTTTATTTCTCCTCTAGTAGGGGTTTTACACTGTCAGTGACCTAATGTGTTTTTGAAAAATCCAAATATTAGTAACCTTTAGCTTTCAAAGATTGGAAACATATAGTGTATTGCAGCTCTTCAATCTAGGGAGTAATGTAGAAACATTATAAAAGAGAAAATTTAAGCTTTTTACCTTTTCCGGAAATACATTTCTTCCCTTTGCTGTTATCTTTTGAAGCTCCTCTGCTTTATACTTTTTTTTTTAAATAACTGTCCATGTTTCAAAGGTTACTTGAATGAATTTTTTTTTCATTTATAAATTACCCTTCAGGTGACTTGCATCCCTTTAAACATCATGCAGATAATTTAGTACTTTTGATAATGCTTACTAGTTAGATAGTCATTGTTACAGAGTACTGGAGATAGAGGGAGAAAGAAATACCAGAGAAAGAATTCCATCATAGTATTTACACATGCATATAAATCACAGTCCTGAGGAACCAGGAGTCATTCTTTAACTTGGAGAGGCTTTTTTGCTTTTTTGGAAATAAACACAATTTACCCATGTGAAAACACAAGAAATCCTTAAGCTTTCTGTGCTGAATTTCATCAGCTTTCTAACCTGAACTGTCTGACCTCATAAAAACGTTTCCCTCCCTGAATTTTTTTTTTTTTGCTCCGTGCTTTGCCCTGTAGCCTTATCTCCATGTCCAAATTAATTTTGGGCATGTTGGCAGAGCTGATTGCAGGCAGAATTGAACTTTGTTCCCTCTGGGAGCCAGCTGGCTGGAGGCCAGCTCTGGCCACATTGCAGTGCCTGAGCGGATGAGCTGCGCTTCTCAGTGAGTCCCATTAAACGCATCCGAGCGCCAGGCAGGCAGGGTCATGGCCTGCAGTTCAGAGGCAGCTTGTGCCTGCCCAGCTCAGAGCTTCGGCAAGGAGACCTCACACCTCTGTGACATTCCCTGGGCAGAAAGACCTTTATCTGCCCACTGTCTCCCTCCTTCTGCAGACTCAAACAAGGGAGGCATTTAATAATCTTCTGTACTTCTCTGTACTAGCTGTTATTTGAACCCCTTTCTCATATTGTAATGGTTGCCTTCTACTGGGGTTTCTTTTTGGCTTACCTTATCACACATAGTTGAAACCTTTTAATATGGCTCATCATGTGCTTTGCTAATTAAAACTCATGTTCTGTTTTAACTTTTCTGCTTTTATCTCCCTGGCGCAGGGAGTCTTACACTCATCCTTAGTAGGCAGTGAATTATTTTCTGCTTTTTTCCTCAATCTCTTCTCTGCATTTAGGTTGCACCTTTTTGTCCTTCAGAAAAGCCTTGGTCATCTCTGCCTCCTAGCAGGCTAAAGTGACAACGTTTCGCAACACTGAAGATCCTGTCCCTTTTCCCATATTGTGTGTAGTGCCCACGCTGCCTTCACCACCAAAATGCAAGTTTCAGTAAAAGTTAAATATGTTATTTCAACTAAATACTGAAAACAGTACTCTGGCCACACACAGCTTTTCATTTATGTATGAAACAACAGAGTCCTCCTCTAACATCACTAACATAGTTGTGAATATACAGTATTTATTCACAGCCTGTTGTGAAATGAGTGCTGAAAGCAAGGTTTGTGATTTTTCTCAAAATCAGAAGATTAAATTTGTTTTTAATCTCATCTGGGATTGGAGAATCTGCAATTTGTCAAGAGAAATCCTAAGTGTGCACAAGGAGCTTTAATATGAACTTTGCAGCAAGTGTGCCCACAACTCGAAGAGTTTCAACTGGAGTGCTGCCTGAGCAGATATGGTTTCTATGTATTTAGTAACCCTCACTGCATACTTTTTTCAGAAGCACAGCTTGAACCTGTAAACAGAGGTTTACCTTCCTTTTAGAAGAGAAATGATGTATCTGTGCTTTTCTTCTTGGGCCTCTCTGGATATACATTTTGTGCCTCTAAAGAAGGACTGTTCTCACTTCTTGAGTTTGTAAACTATATTTCAATGACAGTGACTTTTTGCTTTATATGGATCACACTATAAAGTTTAATAGTTGCTTCTCCAAAATGTGCTGAGTACTGCATTCTTTCTTTAGGGGTTAATCTTTTTATTTGTACTTATATTTGCTTCTGCTGGTCAATTTTACTTCAGTGGCACTGTGAAGGAATGGTTGATTGGAGAACTACTTATTGTTGCTGCCTTAAAAAGTAAAAAAGAGCTTGCAAGAAACACATCTTAGCCTTTGAAGGTAGCTTGTGATAGTTCCTTTTTTTATCCTTTAGCTCCTTGCTGTTGCTTGATAAATAGCAAGCAAGAAGCAAGAAAATTGCTTCTATTAAATTTGATGTGTCGATGTTACAATACCACGAGATTTTTCACAATATATATTTAGTTTGACAATTGGTGTGAATGTGTCACCCTTCAACCCTGTTGGATTCCAGATTAATTTTAAAACAATTTTGAAGTGGGCAGCAAAGAGGTTTCCATTTTTGCAGCTGGGAGATTTTTGTGAAAAAAACCCAAGAAATAGAGAGTAGAGCAGAAGGTTTTCCTGAAGAACCACCTGTGTTTTGAAATGCCACTCAAACCACTTCACAGATTTAATGCGTTTCATTCAACTGCTCAAATATTATATAATTCTCTGTATCTTTGTGTATGTGTTTATATATGGATCAGTCACTCAATCACAGAATATTCTGAGTTGGAAGGAACTCACAGGGATTATCGAGTCCAACTCTTGAGTGAATGGCCTGTATGAGGATTATGTGCTCTGTAAAAAAACTATAATAATATCAATTTTAACCAAAAGTTGCTATTTTAAAAATGAAGTAATTAGCATGTAATTTTGTAAAAATATCTATACAGTCACATTCTCCATTTCTTAGAAGTGAATTATTTTAACAATACATGTTGCACAGTCTTAATAAGTATAGTGCTGAAGTAGGTTTTGGTACTTTATTGTCTTTCCCTTAAAAAAAAAAAAAAATCACGTTTTAAATCACAACCAGTAGACAATTATTAAAAAGTAGACTTTGATGTCTTTGTGAAAACAGGATGTTTTTAGTGGCATTTTTAAACAAATAACACCTAGGAAAGATAATTGAATATTAACCTGTGAATGAAAACTCTCCAAAATCAAGAACTGAATGAACTTCAAAGCATCTTCTGTCTGTATAACTCTAAACCCGATTCTCCAGGACACGTGAGAGATGTATTTCTAGGGAAGATGTAAACAGATATATTTATTTGTACATAAATGGATGTATACATGTAATTTTCTGTTTTGATGCCTATTTCAAAAATGTCAAATTAACAGTATAATAGATCTACAAAAAATATAAATTTATTCTGAAAACCAGTAACAATCCAAGGACTGTATAATGCTTGCTTGCATTGTCTAACTTGAGTTTCCTACTTCTTTGTTTTCTCTATAGACGCCCTATTTTTGGCCATCAAATTGTTGGGAGCCGGAAAACACAGACTATGGTCAGTGTAGAAATATTTTCTATTTCTTTCGGAAATTATGCATTATATTAATGAATGCATCATTGTCATGTCTTATTTCACCATCCCACTGTTTAAAACATAATCACATGCCATGTAATTCCTGTGCAAGAGCTGCTGATATTGAAATTAATGTGTTGCTACCTTTTTCAAAGTTTCTGAGAAGCTTATCAAAGTTATATTTTGGAGTGTATCTGAGGAAAAAAGAAAAAAAAAGCAACTCCCAAAATTCAAAGACTCATCAAAGCCTACCTTGCCATTTATATCCTCTGTTTGGTCCAGCAAGTGTAATTATTTACAGTGAGAGAATCTCAGTGAAGCAGAGGAGACTTTATTGATGGTTGTGCAATGGTTATTATCAGATTGAGACCCAAAGATGTACCTAGTTTAGAACTCTTATTTCTAATATACACCATGTGGAAAATTACTTATCATGAAAACTATGTAGTTCTAATATGAACTGTATTAAAAAATACAGTTTATTGTTTATTTGCCTATGTCTTGGGTGTTTATAAATAAATTACACATTGTAATTACTGAGGTGTGCTTGGACAGCAAAATCTGAAGATAATAGGTAGCAATGTATTAGGAAAAAATATTATTAAAAATGGCAACAAAATTAGGTTCCTCTGTACATCGAATAGTGACCTAATTTTTAAAGAAAGTGGATCTGTAAGCAGCCTCCTGTTCATCCTAATCCAAACTGTAAGTACTGAAGACCAGGTCACTTATTTAGATAACTAAGCATGTACATCATAGGTTATGTTTTTAAAACTTCAGGCCATGAATATATCTTTTTACAGCTTTCCAGAAATTTAGGTGAGTGTTCACTTGTAATTTGGATTCTATGCCCTTGGGAGCTGAAGGCTTTGGGGATGGATGGTTCCAGTAAATGCTTCTTTCGTTTTTGGAGCAGACACAGTTTAATTTCAAATACATTGCCAAATAAAGTATTTTTAAGTTGAGACTCTCAGCAGAGCTGAGTGTCTGCAAGGTACAATTTGAAAATGTGACATTTTCCTCATCCTATAGGAGTATTAAAATGTTCAGTTTTTTACTGATATTTGAAGATGTCCAGTAAATAGATATTGAAAGTTCCCAAGGAGGAGGGATTCTTACCACAAGTGTGTGCTTAGCCATTCCACATGAGGAAATTGGTCACTGAAGGAAAAATAGTTGATTTACCATTTATTACTTCATTACAGTCCCCTAATACGTTAAAGATCATCAAGTAATTAACTATGGGTTAAGAGACATTGAGTTGTTCAGCTGTAATGTGTATTGCATTACTGGGGTGGTTTTAATAAGTGAATTAACATATGTGAATTTGAGATCAGGCTGAGAAAGTTTCTATTAATATCCTTTAGTCTAAAGTAGGAGATACTAACTTTCCTGTCACAACTGATCGCTGGATTGGTCAATGAATTATAAACCTTAGTCAGTAAATAGAAATGTTGTATAATGTGTCCAGGTTTGCATGCCAGGAATACAGAATTAAACTTGGAATCAGTGTCTTCATCATGCAGGGAGGTGCTTTTGTTGAACAGTAAATGTACTCATCTGAGAGCTTTTGAGATTTAAATATGTTTCAGTTGCTGAGTTAAGCTCTTTGGTTGCAGAGGGGAGAAAGAAAGGGAGCAAACCTTAAATCCTGCTCTTTCACTGCTCCTTCCATGTCATGAGCCAAAAGTGCAATCCTGTATGAAACAGACCCACAGCTTCCCCATTCAACAGGGCCAGAGCATTGTACAGGAGCTACCAAAGGTGACTATGTGTCACCAGAACTGGATAATGCTAGAGCATTTGCAGGAAAATAAACTTCTAAGGTATCTTTTCAATATTGTTCTTATTAGGTTAGCATCATCCAAGTCCCAGAAATTAGCATTTCCCTTGTAAACAGTGGTGATCAGAGGAACACAGGGAAATCAAAATATCTAATCAAAATATTTAAGGAACCAAAATAAATCTAAAGTAGGTTTGAAACATTTTGAGAATATTAAAGCATAAATATCACCTCAGGTATACACCAAATAGGTTCTGCAGGCTTTCATGGTAATTGTCCTGAAAAATATAGTACATAGAATATATGTTTTTACAGATATGCAAATACATTTCATTCTTATGCATTATGGTGGTGTTTAGTGCTACCAATTTCATGAACTTGTCCTGAACAAGCTTGAAACTGTGCCCTCTAAAATTAATGACTATGGCAGGCATTAGAGATCTCTCAAGACCAGCAAAAAGTAATCTCTGTAATCTTCCTTGATCAAAGTTACTAACAAGGCAAATCACTTTCTTTGCCATTAACCTAATTTTACAAGGCATTGGAAATACTCTAGGATTTTATTTTAATTTAAAAATTAATCCTAACCATTCATCTTTACTCATCCATAACTGGGCTACTATCCAGAATGTAGCACACTGCCAGGAAAATAATTTATCTTAGAGAAGAAATTAAATGAGATTGAGATACTGTGTGTTAGTTTATTACCAGAACTAAGAAACAAATAATCCTTACATATTTGTATAACATGTTAATATCTTCTCTAAATATAATTTGATCTATATGAGCCTGTAATAGCAAATATTTGCCTTAAAAAATATTCTCCTGTAGAAGGTATAACTGAAAAAGATATACAAACAGAATCTTCCAATATGTCAAAAAAACCCAGACATATTCTCATAATAAAGCTGTAGTGCACAGCTATGTCATGGTGGCAAAAACAGGACTTGGATTAATTTAATTTTTGTCAGAATGGAAAATAGCATTTTGATTGTAATTTCCAAAATACTGACTGTGATCATTCTGAGGTTACTGAGAAACTGCTAATTTTCATAAAGTGCTGAAAATCTCCTTTTTCTTAAAAATCATGCTTTAAGTGTTGTCAAGAGAGATTCCTCAAATTGCAAATAATTTTTACAAAGGCAGGTCCTTAAGTCCCGTCTGTTGAAGTCCCATTTTAGTGCCATATGTCTTGGAGTCCACCCAGGCAGGACATGTTGTTCTTTGTAGAATCCCATTGGTTTTAGTGTGATTATGTTAGTGAAAATAAGTAATAATAATAACAAATATTATTAAGGCTGGTGTAGTTCAAATAACTTTGCTTTTTCCTGTGAGTTAAGTCATGTTCCTGAATTATGAGTAGGTTTTGTGACAAATAGAATTGGATCTCAGTTCAGAAAAACTGGCTCTTGAAATGAGCACAGCTAGTGGCTGAGCATGTGACCTGCTTGTAGTTACCTTCTCTTTTCCTACAGATATAATTTTGTAACTGACGGATTTAGTTTTTTCCTGACATATTATAAACAGGTCATGTCATTAAGAACTAGTTAAATAGGGAGGCTAATTAAGACAATTGCATCCCAGAAAGGGGAAATATAATGCTACCTATCAAATCATTATTCCATGTACATTTGGTCACAGTTCTAATGGAACCTGTCAGGTTCTCTTGGAGGTTTAGCGACTCATAGCTGTTGCAAATTCGAGGCATTTAGTCTATCACTCCTCTTTTTTGAATAAGTAAAAAATATGAAATTTTAGGGAAAAAATCAATTCACAACGAAATAGCAATTATTTGCTTTTTTCCTTTTTTTATTCTTTAGGCTGAATTTTACATATTTGTGAAAATGTAAGAGGATTACAAGAATTACAAACAAAAAAATTACAAAATATAAAATAAGGTTAATTAGTAATTTTTAGTCATTTTCTCTATTGAACTTTTTCTGATAGTTAGATTCAGTAGTATCTGTGACATATCAGACTTTTTCTTACAGCTAAATGCATATTAAAAAAAGAAATCTGCTCAAAGGAGAGAAAGAATAAAATTTAGAAAGTGCCAGTCACAGTCTTTAGGAGGTTTGGACAAACTAGAAGACAAAAAGTCAACTGCATCTATATAGTTGCAACAGGGTGTTGTTTGAGCATTGTATTTTTTTGTGTGTGTGTGCCTTTCTCTCAAATGAGTTAAAAATGGAGGACTGCAGAATGTTGGTAAGTTATAGATAACACAGTAAATAACTGATAATGAAACATGAGTTAAAGAGCACTTGACCATGTGATCTTCAAATTATACTAAATGAGACTAGTTTTCTCTGTATTCAAAGTAAATTCTTAAATTCTGTTGCTGTGAAGGACAAGTTTTGAAAATACAACATATTTTCAGTAGCCTTCCAGGTAAAGTAATGTATTAAAAAGGCAGTCTCCTAGGAAATTAGAGCAATCTTGGGGGTTGGGGTAACTCAATTAATTACTCCCTTTAAAAATGTAAGATACTTGTCTGGATAAATGCTGCAGTTCTTTAGATAGTCATCATTTCCTTATCTATCCTGCATTACAGTAAAATGAGCTAGCCATTTACTTCTGCTGTGTCAAAGCTGTTTCATTGTTGTTCCCCAGCATTTTTAAGAAAGTACAAGCCTTTCCTTATTAAATTTACTTGTTAATCAGCTAACAAGTCAGTCTGAACAACATTTCCTTCCTAATGATACTTTCTTATCGCTTAAAAGTAAATTGAGAGAGGCCTCTCTATGTTCTGTCTCTGCTGCTCTGTTCAGAATATGAGCCATTTCCCCTGGCTCATTTCCCTCTTCTCTCCCAAACCCACAGTAATGCTAAAAAGCACATAGTGCACAGAAAGTAACTGCAGTCATATATCATATTTTTCACATATTGAAAATTATCCTATGATTTTCTCTTTAGAGTCTCTTGCCTACTTATTTTACATGCTTAGCTTCAAATTCCTCTATGAAAATTTGAGTAGTCCAGGAATTTTCTCTCTCATTTGTCTTTCTGTACCCTTTACCATAGAGTGACTGCTTGGAAGGAGAACTGTGTGGAGAATGCATTAGATATTTTCTTTGCCCAAATACACAGGAAGGATTTCCTTGGCAACAGTTTATTAGTAAGCAATTTGTATTTGAGAAATACTAACCCCTATTGCTTACCTGAACTCTGCTGGAACACTGCATGTTCTCAGCATCTC